AAAAAAAAAAAAAAAAGAAAAGAAAACCTTTTCTGACTTAGGTTGTAACAAATCTTTTTTCATAAATTTTAAGAGACATTTGCTTTCCTTTGAAATTTTATCCCCAAACATCCCTCCAAAAATAAGAATTTTCAAAACTAGCAATGCAGCAGTCCAATCTTTTTATCATGCAACCTCTTGGGCCTTCTCCCACCCCCACCTGAGAGATGACAGGAAGCTGGAGGAGTGAGTGGAGCCTCTTTCCGCATTTTCGATTCTGAGGTTTTGCATCTGAAGACTCCCCTGACTCATCCTGGATCCACTGTGACCTGGGTCGGACTAATTGTCTGAAAAGGGCTCACGCTAGTTGCAGATGTGATATGTGCACGTCTCTACATGTGTAAATACATCAATATAGATCTAGAATTGGGCAGAAACCTCTCATAAAAGGAGGCTCAAGCTGCACCGCTGGGCGGCAGGCAGGACAGCAACCTCAACACAGCCTCTCTGTTCCATTTCCACTTCAACACCAGGGAGGGCAGGACAGAAACCTGGCGTTAGTGAGATTTTGTGGCTGATCCCACAGCTTCTTGAGCAGATCTGGGGCCTTCTGTGCCAGAGTTTGTGGAATCTCACATGGGCAAGAGTCTTGAGCCGGTAAATACAGGACATCGGCATCAGAGACTCAGAACAGGGCTCCTGGAAGAGGCGTCACAGGCTGGAAGCAGGAAGCCAAGTGCACGGCAAACCACGTCGCATTGTGTTACCGGCAGACCACTCTTTAAACCTGATCTGTTCTTTTCCAGGCCCTAGCTAAACCAGGCTACCTAAATACCTGTCATTATCTGTGATGATTTCTCATTAATTGGGGTTTTTGTCCCTTCTGTTCCTTTTCTTAGAGGTTGGCTTCTTAAACACTTCCAATATGTCTGCTAGTTGCTCATTGCTACAGACTGAAGTTGTGGCGTTTGGGGGAAAACTGTATAAAAGTCTTAAGTGATGTAACATTTAAATAATTAATATGAAGGGCGGCTATAACCAGCTGTTATAGGGCGGCTGTTCTAACAATTCTAGACCTGCAGGAGCTCATTCTGACTAAACGCCGCCCTGGCTTTCAGGACATTTTTGGTCAGTGACTTACTGTAATCACAATGTGGCTATGAATAGCTGTGTCAGGCGAAGTTAAACATGGAAGTAAAAGAGAACAAATGTTTTCCCTGATGTAACGGACAAGGTGTGTTAAGAGATCTTGTTCTGGTATACACTTAATTTTTTTAGAGACAGGGTTTTGCTCTATTGCCCAGGCTGGAGTGCAGTGGCGTGATCACAGCTCATTGCAGCCTCAGCCTCCCACGCAGCTGACCACAGGCTCCCTGGGGTAATTTTTTTTTTTTTTTTTGAGAGAGTTTCGCTCGTTGCCCAGGCTGGAGTATAATGGTGAGATCTTGTCCCACCGCAACCTCTGCCCCCACAGGTTCGAGTGATTTCTCCTGCCTCAGACTCTCAGGTAGCTGGGATTACAGGCATGCACCATCACACCAGGCTAATTTTGTATTTTTAGTAGAGACGGGGTTTCTCCATGTTGGTCAGGCTGGTCTCGAACCCTCGACCTCAGGTGATCTGCCCTCCTTGGCCTCCCGAAGTGCTGGGATTACAGGCGTGAGCCACTGCGCCCGGTCTTCCCCGGGGTAATTTTTAATTTTTTTTTTGTAGAAGGGGGTTTCGCACTGTTGCCCAGGCTGGAGTGCAGTGGTGTGATCACGGCTCACTGCAGTCTCAACCTCTTGAGTTCAAGTGATGCACCAGCTTCAGTCTCCCACGTAGCTGGGACCACAGGCTCCCCGGGCTAATTTTTAATTTTTTTTTTTTGTAGAGGGGGGTCTCGCTCTGTCGCCCAGGCTGGGGTGCAGTGGCGCCATCACGACTCACTGTAGTCTCGACCTCCTGGGTTCAAGTGATCAGCCAGCCTCAGCCTCCAGAGTAGCTTGGTCCACAGGGGTGCGCCACCACGACCGGCTGATGTTTACAATTTTTCTGTAGACAGGGTGTCTTGCTATGTTGCCCAGGCTGGTCTCAAATGATCCTGCAGCCTCGGCTTCCCAAAGTGCCAGGCTTATAGGCGTGAGCCACTGCGCTCAACCTAAACTTAATTTTTAACCTAATGAAAATACACAAACAAACCTGATTACTAGAGGCTGCCCTGCCTATGGAATAGCCATTCGTTATTCCGTTAAAACAAAGCACCTGATTTCCAGAGAACGCGCTCGAAGGTGTGGCACTTCAGCGCCCGCGTTTGAGCGCTCTGGCTGCACCCACAGACAGCAGAAGGCGGCCCCTCTGCAGCACGGCCGATTTACTGCTTTGGTCTGTCCCTTCCTCCTCTCGGAGGCGAGTCTCTCACGCAGGACGCCTGAGGCACGGGCACCCGCGGTTTCTTTGGCGAAGGTTCCAAGGCTACCGAAACCCCGCGCCCATCCCGCCCACGTGTCTTCACAAAAGCTACGCGCGGGACAAGAGGTGTCGGGGACCGGGTCCCCGAGAGCCGCTCCAAAGCCGCTCCGCATCCACCCTGCCCGGGCCC